TGTGTGTGTGTGTGTAGTAGTGTGTGTGTGTGTGTGTGTGTGTGTGTGTGTGTGTGTGTGAGAGAGAGAAAGAGCGCGCGCTAGAGGTGTGCGTGTGTGTGTGAAAGAGAGCGAGAGAGGACGGATGAACGGATAGACGGCAGCAGTGCATATATTGTATATTTACGGCAATCAGCAGAGCGTCCCGTTGCACAATACAATCATGTCAATCAGGCGTGTACGCAAGTCACGCGATCACTGTGTGAGTGGATGTGCGGATGCATAGCCTGCATGCTAGGCGACCGGTTCCGGACGCGTAGCCACTGCGTTTTAATTTTGAGATAGGCAATCGTTATCACAATTTTTATCACGATAGGCTAATTATTGTGCAATACAAATTACCTAAGTCAATTTTTCAGTAATCATATTGCCTAACTCAGGGTTACAATTTGCCTAACTCTGTGTAAAATTGCCTATACTAATACCAAGTGACTTAGTAAGTCATTTCAGCGAGTTATGTAATAGAATTTCGTAATACTTGTAGTTGCATATGCACATTATATTCTTATTAATTGTATTTTTACATGCAATCATCAATAAACCAGAGAGACCGGGTACAAGATGGCGTTGCGCAAAAGATGCGTTGTTCCCCGACTGCCGAAAGCGGTTAAGCCGCGCACTTCCGCCAACCTCCCATTTTTCTCAAAACTCAAAAAATTGAGATAGGCAATTATCGTAGCAGGGTGAAGATATATATATATATACAGTGGCGTATCCAGAAATGGATGAACAGGGGGGCGAAATGTACCTGGGCTGCCGGAGTTAACACCGCGTGCCGCGGGCACGCCAGCGCTAGGTCGTTCTGTGGGCAAGCTCCCCCAAGAAATGTTGAAATATTTAAGCTATTTTCCTGAAATCTGAGGCATACTGTGGGCGATATTCTGATGTCTGATGACACTATCTCAACCCTACAATTTAGGATTTAAAACACTTTATTTTTTTTCCTGGGCCTGCAAACGCAACTGCCGATAAAATACGTAGACTGCATGGTCGGCGCTCGACAGTTCCACTCGCGTTACATTCGAACTGTCGAGCGCGGACCAGTCTATAAAATACGCGGCTTCAGAAATCCGGTATTTAGCGTTCAGACGAGGAAATGCGCGGTCCAAGAAATCCGGTATTTCTGAAGCACGGCAAATTATTCGGGGTCTGGGAAGCCTCGTATTTACATGAAATACCGGATCTGTTCAGATACCGTATTTCTTGGGCCTCGTATTTTGCCTCGTGTGAACGCTAAATACCGGATTTCTTGCTACGTGTGAACGCGGCTAATGACAAATAATTATATTACAAATAATTTGTCATTATTAACCCCTGATATAATAATATATATATATATATATATATACAGTATATCAAACATATATATATATATATATTTATTATTTATTTATTTAATAAAGCCTAGTAGGCCTATATGCTATGTACCTACTGTAGCTGACAGCATTCTGTTCTAAAAAAATTACGCCTATTTTTGAAGACAAACACACAACAAATTGAGTATGTTTTGTTGTGTGCTACTGCTTGCCTTATATAGCAAAAGTTTAGAACACTGCTAATCTCGAAATCTAGAGTCCTTGTGTGTGCTGTTGTTCTATCTTTTTGTGCGTTTGCCCAGTGGCATGTGTGCGGTGAGATTGTTTGTTGCAGAGGACCATTTGTAGGGCATTTACGTGGAATTATTCGAAGATAGAAAGTACATAAAAGTATATATATATTTTATAAATATACATAAGTATATTTAGTAGTAAATGCAAAAAATACAATTTGTGTTTATTTACTATTTTATTTGCTGAAACGGCGCAAGTGCCTGTGTAAGATCTCTGCTGCCTGCGGCAGGGTTAGTATATCGCCATTCACGTAACAAACACGACTACAGTTGCGCGTTAGACATTGCTTGTAAACCGTGATGTGCGTAGGTGTGTAGGCTATGCGAATACGACACAGTATTGTGCCTGATGATTACTGACGTTGTTTTTTTACCCACTGCATGGGACTTGCCCGGTTTACAAATATTGCACTTTGTATATATACACATACTCACAGTTGTATAACATATTTGCCACGTTATTTTCGACTTTATTTAAAAAAGGACACTATAGTGTGGCGACGCTCAGATTATGACATTCGGATTTTGTAAATAATAAAAATAGGGTCTACTACGTTAGGTGTATGTAAATGGGATCCTGCAACAAGCAGTCAACTTGCAGAACACCGCAAAACAACGGTGATGCTGTAGCGAGGAGTGTTTATGGTACATAAACAGCAGCTACATCCGAGCCCGCCCGTCGCGGTAATGAATCTCGATGGTGACACTGAGGTGCGACAAAGGAGAAGAGGCGATGGTAGAGAAGCACCTGCTCTCGAAGTCGCACCGTGAGAAACTCGCGCCGTGAGAAACGTGTCACTAAGGCGCGGGTTTATGATAACCAATTACGGACAGACTTAAAAGCGAAGACTCTAGCCGAGCTCGAGAGAACTTGACTGTCTTTCCGACTGACTTGTTCCCTCGTTTGCTCCAGCGTTCGCCCACATATCATATCTTGTATTTCATACCCTGTATCTTGTGTCTAGTTCGACGTCCATCATGTCGAACAATAAACGCCAGTGTGGTACGTTACTACCGTAGTTGTTGTCTATCTGTTGGTTTGCGTACTCCCACTCCTGCATCTACCTACATACCTACACCTACCTACGCCTAGCCTTAGATCGCCAGTAGTCCCGCTAACGAATCACATCGTTACAATGCAATAATGTGTGTTACGCGAAATCGACTAGTCAAACAGCTTGTAATCAGTCATCTCAAATATTTCTCGACACCCCTTTTCGACCTTTTTTATTTGGGCTTTCGTCAGCCCTTTCCGCCAGCCTAGAGCCGTTGCGCTAGCATTCCTTCTGTATGTGCCATATTGAAAGGCAAAGTTTTCGTGCACATTGGAGCTATTTTCTGCACCGGCGTGGATGTGAAGGTACTTCACTACAGCTGCGTCCATCTCTAAATCGAGAAACGAGTAGACTTTCTTGGCCGTCTGGATCGGATACTGAGCCAGATCTTCGTACTTTACTTGATGATATTGGTCGGGTTTCAACAGAGCGCGTCCATCTTTGAGGTCCGCGACCATTTGACGGCACAGATCACGCGCGCTTTCCGCCAGCCGGCCATCCGATAATCGATCTTCGCCGTGCAGCGACAGTCGCGAACTCATAACTCCTCTCGGATCTCTGATGAGATGTATGACCTTGAGGCGGATGCCTCTGCTCGCGAGTATTTCGGACAGTGGTACGATGTGGTCCTTCAGCGACGCGCGAATCACTTTCACGGCGACATTCCTGGGCTCGCACAGCCGCGTGAGATTCGCCGCCGTCAGTCGTGACATTTCGCACGCATCCAATCGCGAGCTCGATGATAGGTTTGTATACGGCTGACATCCTAACGCAGCAGTAGCTACGACTGTGTATCTCAAATGCGTTCCTTTGCTCGGCGCCGTAAGGTAATTAACGTAATCCCGAAACTCGTTGAAGTCGCACCTGTAAATGCTGTCTAGCAGCTCGATTAACTGTCGCGTAGTTGAGTTAGCGGGCATGAATCCGTCGTGCACCTGATGGTGGATGAATCGCACTGGCTCGAAGAGATAAAATATTTCGGGGTTGTAATTCAGCAGGTCACCTGTTAGCGTCGACCCGGCGCGCATGTACGAGAGAACCAATATGGCCGATTTCTCGCGCCGGTGATTTCGGTCGGTGGTGGCGACTTGTATTCGGCCGACATTTGTAGCCAAGCTTGCACCGACTACATCGTTTTGTGTTCTTTCTATAGGATTATCTGCGTGTTCGTCTTGACTGTTTGTCGGCGCATTTACAATTTTAGGGGTTTTAAGCACGCCAGTTGATAATGGTAGATATATCGCATCCTTCCCGTCGCCCCGCAGAGGTGTCTCTGTTCGCTGTGTCGATAGAAAGCCCTTGTACGGTGCAATAAAAGTACTCCCACCTGAAATTGATGTAATAACGGTATATAAATGTGTGTATGTATTGGGGTGCGTACTAGCTCTAGAACTATAGACTTCGCTCCGCCACAGGCAGGTGACAGAGCGAAAAGCTATATTTCTAGAGCTAGGTGTACGTGTATCCTGCGTGCGCACGTGCGCGTTTTAATTCATAGTCCCTTCTCGTCATCAACTCGTGTTTCTTCCCGTACCGTCATGTCACCTCCTACTTCACAGTAAATTCGTTATCCACCACCCAGACTCGCGGAGTTTATCACGGAGTAGGTCTCCCTTGTGTCCGTGCTCTTTCATCTATGTACTGCGCTCTCGCCTGTATACTTAGTACCAGTATGCACATAGCAATGGAGATTTACAGATGTGGGTCACTCATGCCCGTATATCCATAAAACTCATAAAACCATATACACGATTATTTACTGTTAGAGCGTTTACAATACGAGTGATTTAAGTCTCAGCTAGCAGCTCAGCAGATATATGTGGTACACAATCAAATACGCTTATTGTAAACGAGGATTACTTGACGCATACCTATATATACACGCTCATCTTACCTTGCAGTGGTAACCAGTAATATATGATGACGCAGACTAGTAACAGCAGCGCGGCCAAAACACACGAAGATATCGATAGGCTGCGTGCCATCATGATCAGTGATGAGTCATCGGTTTCCCCGCTCCACGTGATACAAGACGGTCAAGACATTACCTGGATTCGCGAAATGAAACTACGCAAACTCTGCCGCACGATCGGGTCGCGGCGGCTGTGCATGGTGTAGGCCCCCTACCTAATGACAATTATCCCTTTATGGCAGACGGCGACGATCTGCGCGCGGGCAATCGCAGCCCACGCTGTACTGCGCGAAATCCGGTTTTATAGCTCGTGCGTTCGCGACGGCGCCCGCGGGGGCCGGGACCCCTGCCGAAAGAATTATCAACGAGGGAGCCATCCTAGGATAAGAAATTATACATACACATAACTCCATTTTCAGGTCTTAAATGCATGAGAACACCCGTTCATTAATTTTGGTTCGGGTATATTCTTCAGCTACCAGCTACACCTCCCGCGGCGATACCTATAAACATTCCTCGAAAATATAAAACTGTTTAAAAACCAGACAATCCTACAATTAAGTGTGGGGGGATCTAACAGGTTGCAACAACACATTTTAAATGTTCAAAATCACAGTTAACTTTTGCCGCCTCTCGCTTCCACCCCCAACCCGCAGCAGGCGGAAGATGTTAGGTCCCTACTAAGTACGCGCATCCTCCGTCCTGCTGCGCGTGGGTGTCATAACAAAGCAAGCTAGGCTACCGAGGAAATTCGCTAGGCGTTCGGACATGCGCATTGTTCTTTTAGTTAGAACTAAATGTGCGGCGGCGGCGGCGATCTATCTTGCAAGGTCGATCTTTCATTCTCGACGTAGAACACGCGCAACGTCACGGAACCGAAGGACCGTCCGCGCAGTTTATGTTTTAAAGTTGAAATGATTTCTGGATGGCCACAGGTTTTCTATTATAATATCAAAACAAGAGAGGATAATACCTATTACAAGTATAGAAGTGTTATCCTCTCTTAATCAAATAGATTAGAATTAATTAAATAATTATATATATTTTTAATTATTGCACTAAGGGCGAGGAGCTTGCAAGCGCATGTTGAGATAACTTTTACCAACGTACCGTATAATAAATAAATAAATACATGATAAATATGTGCGAAAAGTCGAGCTGGCGTGCGCGAACCCCCGGAACAGAACAACCGCGTCTTGCACAGGTGATCTCCGCCCATCACACATACAGCCTCGTGAGTAGAGTAAAAGTCTCGGTTTTACACATATCTACCGATGCCTATCTTACGGGCTCGTCATGACTCGACCGCTGACGGTCTGTCGACCATCATCTACTCTCTTAATAGAGTCTATTGAAGAATGGATGAATGTCTATTGAATAGCATATGCACATTCATTCACCTCCCCCAAATACGGGGGAGGTGCCACTCGTGTCTATCAACCAGTGATAGACAGGTTCCACCCGCATTGGAACTGCTAAATGCGGTAATATAAGGGCGATTTTTCAAGGAGTAAATTTGTAAACGAATAATATAACATAAACGAAACTTACTTCGTTACCAGAAACACCGCCCAGATATAAAGAACCCGTAAGCACCTTAGTACTCGGCAAACCATAAATGTCTTCAGAGACTGAATACATATATCTAATAAAATGCAATTCTGTGGAAATAATAAATGCTAACTGCATAGATAATTATGACGATTTGCACATAGCAAGCTGTGTACTTTGCTCACGCAAACAATTGCACCTCATCATGGCCTCATATTATTCACAAGAATAATAGTAATTGATACCACTGCTTAATTAACACCTAATAACAGGCGTGCCTAAAAATAAAAAGTACATGTTGTTACTATCCTTAAAATCGCTTCGCCTTTTGGCTGCAAAATTATTCGTAATGTGAAGCGTCTACAAATAAAACAACAGAGGTGAATCAATTAAGAGAAGCCAAAACTTTATTACCGGTAAAATTCGAACACTGAAAAGCACCAAAATGTCGGGAAAATTGCCGCACAACCACCGAAGCAATCACAACCAGCGAAGTCAGGAGTTCCACATCGTGTAATGATCACAACCGACTGCAAAGACGATCACAACCCAATTACGGTGACTTTCGAATTAAAACGCAACTGCCTCCCGATTCAGCATCAATTCACAACGCGCGTTGCCTCAATTAACCGCTCGCGGACTGGTTTCACTAGATTCTATGCCGATTCCCAGAGGGAAGGTGGCTGTAGCAGGCTGCAGCTGTTACACCAAACAGTAATATTGAGAATGCCAATAGGAACAGCCGCAATGCTGCTAGAAACTACAACGCGATAGACACGCCGAGTTATAAGATAGACATGGACACAGTACGATTACATTATTCATTATCAAGTCAACGCCGCATCAAGGTGGTACGAAAGACACGAAGAAAGCTAATACGAAGAAAGCTACTACAGTATAGGTTGGAGGCGGCTGCCGGCACCGTGACTTGCTGGGTAGTCGCACACGGCCGCCGGGCCAGCACGCAACGATCGTCAGTCGCCATCGTGACGACAGTTGCAGCAGCCCGTCAGCGCGCGCGTGACGACCCTAAGTCTCCATGTTCACTGTACTGCCGTAGCAGCAAGTGCTGCTCACTCGATTAAGTATCAGTCGGTGAGCCAGCCGCCGCACTCAACGCGTCAAAACCGCTTCACACTCGAACCGTACAGAAGGCAAAGGATTGCCGAGGTCCTGAGGATAGAGAAAGCTCTTCAGCCGGAGAGTATCAAGTAAAGGCCACTTGCGTGACATTTGCAAGTCGCCATCGTTGCAACTGAGAGCAAGTGAAAGATACTCAAACCCCCGCAAAACCTCAGAGCAAGTCACAGGACGCACGCCAACAATCCGGAAAGCATAACGAATGGAAGTAATCTATCAGCACATAGAAATAAAATAAAAACATACCCAAAGCACATAACGCACACACAGAGAGTGGTGCAAGGCACCACTGTGTGAGAGAGCGAACAAGTTATTACTAGGCAAATATACTACGAAAGTTATCTATAGATTAAACATGTTTCTTGTTGATGTAGGAATAACATTGCATCTATGCAGTATTGCATGCCATCAGCTATGCTAATCCCACCATCATGCACTCTTGCGAGGCTACGACCCCCTAGTGTAACCTCAGCAAGGACACTTGCAGCTAGTTACTAATAGTAGATAGGCTAACAGGGCAAGGACCACACTAAGCCGTAACCATCTTTACAACATTGGTTCTTAGACGGTACCTATCAGTGGGTCCACAGCCCACGTACTTTTCTAATACATATAGCCTAAAAAGCGTGCACACACCAAAACAACCACCTTGACCGTGACAATTCTCCTTAAGAAGAGAGATCGAGTAAATGAATTAAATTATACCAGTACATGTTGCACAACCGTGGGCAATTTCATATAGGATGTATCAAAAGAATACACATGATGTCCTCTCGCAGCGCACGTTAAAACAGAGAATACAAGCCACCAGCAAACACTCAAACTCACACGTGCCACACCCTTGGTCGTTATGCGCACCTTATGACCATTATGACCCACCCTATGCGCAACTCTTCATCATGGACATGACTCCTTCTGCTACACTCTATACGTTGCCCAGTCACCAATAAATTCTCTTGTAAATGTAAAATCACTAAAACCTGAATAATACAATGTGGATAGTCTATATAACGGGGGATTTTGTTTCCAAGCCGTCGGTGGCACACGCCGACCGACGACTTTCATTCAAAAGCTTAGTTTGTGAAAAGCGATTCGCAAAACTCGACGTAGTCCAGTGCCCCCTGGATGGTTCGCCCGCGATCGTCGATGTACGGTTTCATGTGCGAGACACAGTACTCCGCCTGAGACGGTGTGAGGTTCTGCAATAGAAGTGGAGACAACGGTGAGACGCAAAGCACGTTATCGCGAGAGTATGGGGATGCTCTTTTCTGGTTGCCGTGGTTACCACCAGGGTTCGGATGCAAGACCGCAGGGATTTCTCTGGTTACCGTTTCGGTTTTCCGAGCATCACAGACGCAGCGAAAGTTGGCACAGTGAGCAGTTGTACACAGGCTCTAACAAATCACAACAGCACCAGACATTAAAATGCCAGACTCCCCCTCCCCAACATTTATTAGTAATCGTCACCTAGCTTTTAAACGTTTTGGCCTTAACGTGTTTAAACTCAAAGTGCCGTTGTTGTACAGTTGTTGTAGCAGTTGTTGTGTAATTGTTGCAAGATTGTTTGTCAGTTGTTGTACAGTTGTTGTACAGTTGTTGTACAGTTGTTGTACAGTTGTTGTACAGTTGGTGTGTAGTTGTTGCACAGTTGTTGTACAGTTGGTGTGTAGTTGTTGTTGTTGGTCGATACTCACGGCATACACCTCCTCGACCATAACGTAGGGCTTGTCTCCCATCGTGAGTGACTTGAACGCACTGAGAACCTCCTCGCACGACTTGATGTTCTCCGTCTCGCGGCTGATCATGAACGCCATGAACTCTTGCAGCGACACATACCCGTCCCTGCAACGATAAACACCAGCGCTCAGCATTGAACACATGCACGCACGCACGCACGCACGCACACGCACACGTTCCACTACATGGCTACCGATCACACGGCTAGCTCAGATTAGTGGAGACACGCATGACGGTACTCGTCAACATTTGGAAATATTCCATATGGTTTTTAGAGCGTTTAGGTTTTAGGTTCGTAGAGACACACTATGAAACTTACCAACATGAGAAAATCTTACATATAGATTATTTCAGAGCGTAGGTTAGTAGAGACACACCTGTCAACGTTTCAAAAATTAACTACAAGGGCATTGACAAGGTTTAGGGTTTAGGTTAGTAAAGCCACTCTATGGTACCTGCCAACATGAGAAAATATCTCATATAGGTATTTCAAGAGCATAGATTAGCTAGGACACACACACGCACACACACACCCACGCACGCACGCACACGCGCACACACACCGTACTGCGGCGCGCATGCATATGAACTACTCTGCACATGTGTAACTCAGCTGAGCGACTAACCGGTTCGGATCGACGGTGTCGAGGATGAGTTGGAATTCGGGTTCTGGTTGGCCTTCCTCGACTACGGGAAGGTCGTAACCGAGCGCTCGCAGACACGACTTGAACTCCTGGTGGTCCAGCTTGCCCGACTTGTTCTTGTCGAAATGCCTAGAGAACGAACCGGAGTAACTATAAGCTGCCTTCCCACACACGCATGAGAGATACACTACGATATTATTATTCCACAACTATGTGTGCCCATCTTCAGAACTCCCCACATCACAATCGCAATTACAACACAGCTGTGTACGCCTGCAAAATATGAATTATATATCACGAGGGAAACATTTTTATGCTTACGATGGCGTTATGCGACATGACCTACAAACGCAAAGCCTAAGTTGACAACACACCTGCATAACGAAGAGGAATCATACAGTTACGACATCAACATTTATATTTATCCACCCAAACACATTTTAAACACCTATGCTAAACTTAGCTTCACCAGCACTGTCAAACCTGTGATGGCGGCCACCTCTATAGAACGGACACCTGTCTATGAAGGGCACTTTCAGGATTAGGGCGCGTTTGCGGGCGCGGTGGCCGGCGACTTACTTGAACATCATCGAGAACTCGCGCAGGGCTTCCTCGCTGACGCCGCTCATGTTGCGCGCCTGTATCTGCTGCTCGAGGTTGTGCACCATGCGCATGCCGAGCTGGTCGAGCTGGTCCCACTGCTGTGCGAGCCCCACCGTGCTGTGCTCCGTGTACCTGCGCACACAAACAACACCCACTCACTAATACGCACACACGCGCGGCTCGTACGCGTGCGGGGAAAACGGTCGCCAAGGAATTGTCGAGGAGTTTTTCGCCTCACGACTTTCACGGTTTGTATGCTCAAGGGAAAACGGGTTCCAGGATTTTTCAAACGACTCACACGATAAGAACAACCCAGTTGAAAACGAGACTTTCCCTGGACTTAGATGACCCGCATTACAGGATACCAGGATCGCATGAATAAAACTCGACGAAGCGGTCAACTGCAGCCGTTAGACACGGCGCGCTCGCTCACGTTAGACCGCAGCGATGGCTCAATGGTAGAGTGCTCGCCTCGCATGTGGAAGGTCAGGGGTTAAACTCCCGGCCGGGTCATACCAAAGACTTGAAAATGGTACACACGGCTTCTCTGCTTAGCATTCAGTAGATAGAGATAGAGTGTGGCAATTTAACCCGCAGTGCTAAACAGTGGCCTAAGTGGACTAACCCCCTACTGTAGCATTTACTGTGAAAGCAGCTGTGGGGCCTCAGGGTTGCTGAAACGGAGATAGGCACTGCCCTATGAGCCATATAGGCGCGGGAAGGATTTAACTTTAACTTAACTCTCGCTCACGCGGCTCCACTCTACCTGTTGTCGAGGATGAGGTGCTCTTCCAGCAGTGCTCCCAGGTCCTCGATCTGCTTCAGCTGTGTGCGCTGAGAACGCACCTCGGCCAGCTTGCGCTTGGTGGCCTCCAGCTGTGCCTCCAGTGTGCCGGAACCCTCCATCATGGAAGACCTGCAGGCGAGCGTGCCACGCGTTAGCCACCGACTCGTGATGCGCGCGTCTGCGTGCTCGTCACATCGAATTGCAGTTTTGAGGGTAAATGACCCGACGAATAGGCATTATTAGGTGTATAGCCTACGGGGATGAACCGTTGAATATCTAAGTCCAAACATAATATGTCCATTAATAAGAAACGTTAGACACGACTATGTCCATCAGATTCTAGGACTACTAGTACTACCACCCGGTCAATTACCCCCCTAGGACAACTACCACCTAGGACAACTGCCACCCGGACAATTACCCCCTAGGACAACTACCACCCGGTCAATTACCCCCCTAGGACAACTACCACCTGGACAACTGCCACCCGGACAACTACCCCCCCCCAGGGGAATTACCCTCCTAGGACAACCCTAACCCTAACCCTAGGGGGGTAGTTGTCCGGGTGGGAGTTGCCCTAGGGGAGTAATTGTCTGGGTGGTAGTTGTCCGGGGGGTAGTTGTCCAGGGGGTAGTCATCCGGATACGTGTCCATCAAATTGCACGTTTAATCCACCTACAAGAAAACCACAAACAATGTCACAAGTCTAACCATACTAACGAACATGCCTAGATTACAGGGTCGATGGGAGACAATGGTCAAAGGCTGTGTGCAGCAACGACACATACAACACCCGGTAGTAGGGAGAGGTAGATGTAGATGTAGAGAAAGAGAGAGAGAGAGATAGAGAGAGAGAGCAGTAGAGATAGAGGAGGGAGCCAGAGACAGAAAAAAGCAGAGGTAGAGAGTAAAGAGGTAGACAGATGGAGAGGTAGAAAGGTAGACATAGAGAGGAGATGTAGAAAGGTAGACATAGAGAGAAGAAGAGGGAAGGAGATAGAGACAGGGTGGTACAGGTAGACATAGAGACAGGGTGGTACAGGTAGACATAGAGACAGGGTGGTACAGGTAGGGCACGTGGCAGTCAGTACGCTACCTGGTCTCGGTCAGCCAAGCGTGGAATGCATTGGCGTGATGGGCGAACTGACGACGCAGCTTGTCGTTTTCCTCCTGCCTCTGGTACTCCTTCTCCAGCTCCGTCTCACGCTCCTGCACAGAGCAAATGAGAGTGAGAGAGCCGATCAGACACTTGCCATGCGTAGCTAACAAGCGACTACAGTCAGATTAACCTCAACCAAGTGTCAACAGCATTCTTCAATAAGCTCAGAGTACTAAAATTCGGGCAAAAAATACAAACAACTTAGCCTTAACGCCAACTGCTAAACCTGCCCACACAATTTTCTATCAAGTAGGAAATTTGTACATTAAATTATTTGTGTTTGGTCCTTCGAAACCCTTAACTGACTTGAAAAGGCTGGGCACATTTTCAGTTTTCCTTTGGTATTAAATAGCTGAGAGTGTGAGAATTCCCCAAATAAGATGAGATGACAGTTTATCAAGTAATATTTTTTCAAGAGATCGCAGACACCCATTTACACAACTGCACTAACTGAAGCCACGTATTATATCTCATATATGATGAACAACTCAAGGACACAACAGATTGAGGAGACCAGAGATCCTGTCGACCTCACAACCTGTGACCCTTCGAGCGCCTTCTTTCCGGCCAACCTCACAACCATGCTCTCAGCGCGAACAGCAACAATGCACCGTTCCCACGCACTCGTCACGAGAGCAAAAGTGGCGCCCCCTACCTTGATGATCTTCTGCAGGTTGCGCCACGTGTCGTCCAGTGCCTCCATCGTGAACCACGTGTACGGGTTCGGCCCGACGTTGAACTCCTTGATCTGGCGGTCGAGCGCCGCCAACTGCTCAAAGTCAGCCTGGGCCGACAACAGTGACGCCTGGAACTGCGCGTGCGCTTCACGCAGCGCCTGTAATGCAACAACAACAACAACGATTGCACATGATGTAGTCAGTATAAGATTAATACGATAAAGTTTGTAAAATAAATAATTTTTAATTGTTATTTAATTTTTTTTTTCTCCCCAAGATTTGGGGCCTGTTGTCAGAAACATCACGAACGATTATATCTATCATAAGTATAAAATGTCAACTTTTTATGTTTGGACATCATGAGCCCGAAACCTCACAACTGTTTTACACAAGCTGCCGTGCAACAGTTACAACACTTTGGATTTCATGACAGCCGTAACTACGTACGATGTTTCTGACAACGGGCATCAGTACTGCATGTCGCAGGACAAAAATGCTCCACACAATAACACTAAAAATTCGGAACGTAATGATCGCGTAGGGTTGAAGCAGCCGCACGCTCGCGTAGTCGCGCTGTGACCAGGCTGCGTGACGTGCGGGGGACGGCATACCCTGATCTCCTCGATAGAGTTGCAGCGGACGGGATCCGTCAAATCCTCCTCGGCATTCTCAAACCAGCTGTTGAACGCGGATGCCTTCTTGGCAAACATCAGGTACAGATCCTCGATCTGAAACGTTACAATGGCCAGATGTAAATACATTCGAAATATCAATACACACACTCTTGCTTCCGCAAAACATATAAATAACAATCGTCAGATATGAACACATTTGAGCTCTCTTAATACACTCTCATTTAAATCTCAAATGATGATTACAATTACCATGATTGTTATCATTATCATCATCATCGTCGTTATTATTATTACATTGATTACAATCTCAGCTTGACATCTCGCTAATCTCAGATGAACATCTCGCTAATCTCACGATACTGCAGCGGAAAAATAAAAACCATAATGACCACCAGACGAGAACACTTCACTACCAACACACTCCTGCTGCAGAAAAAAACGTTTCGGGGCACATTCATCTCAAAACGCTACAAAGTAAAGAAGTGCGACGAGACGGTTTCGCGCGCACGGTGAAATACGCGTGTGAGATGATCGAACCCGACCAGCCCGGCGAGCACGTCCGATCCGACGCGGTCGCTCGGGCGGAGAGTTTGCGACAGGTGGGCGCTCACTCACCTGTCTGTACTGCTCCTGCATGCGCAGCAGCTTCTGCTTGCGCGCGTCAGAGTCGGCGAGGAGGCGCTGCCAACGGGCGATCACCTCGTTGTAGCGGCGCTGGATGGCGGGCGTCTGCTCGTGGTTGGCCTCGACGAGCTGGTCCTTCAGCGCGGTGATGTTCTGGATGCCCTCGTGCTCGAACGCCGACAGCCCGGCGTCAAAGTTCTCCTGCACGCCGGAAAAAACGGAAGTTCACGAAATGAGCGAGCGCTAATCGACGACGAGACGGGAGGGGATTCGCTGAAGTCGCGCCATGACAGCAGACGATCATGAGCGCGACTCATCGTACTAGAGTGATGGTATGATAATGATTGATGCTAACACACCAAGTGCAATGAAGCTCGTTTAACAGACAAGAAAATAAATTCATTCAATAAATACTATGATTTACATGGTATTTATTAAATATTTTGAATTATTATTAAATGAATAATTGAATAAGTATAGTATTATTCAAGAAAATCATCAGTCAAACATTAGCAGAGAAGAACTTATTATAACGCCTGCTGCCACCTTTGTAGTCTGCAATGTCCAGCTCGTGTTAAACAATGCTATCATGTGTAATGAAGCGAATTCCGCGCACTTTCACTTATGGGCAATTCTGAGCCAGAACTGGCCTCGGGTGACAAATCCTTTGCGCGCTATTAAAACGCCAGAAGGCCGCGCACCACAAGTAAACATATCTCGGCCCCCTCCCCGTCTCGAAAGTTCTAAAAAAGGGACGCTGACCACACGTGACATACTTGACGCACGTGTCATAGCCAGGTTAATTAGAGTGAAAGTAACAAAAACGGACTTTTTAGAAGCAGGAAAGACACGAGCGGCTACGCTAGGATGAGTATGATTTGGTTTGTCATGACTTGTTTCTTGCCTGTTGTACTTATGTGCATACTACTTATACATTGGAAAGCTGCTTGCATAGCGGTTTTTACATACTCAAGTCGGTATTGGCGTGTATATTGTTTAGTTAAAGACATGTGCTG